AATATAAATCAACTGTTTGAAACCTCGGGGAGGGTTTGAAAAGGTAGTAGGGAAAGGCATAGTTTGATCAGAATAATGAATCAGTAGAACCATCAATAAGATTACTTTTCATAAAGATTTCCAACTCTGCTATTTATTATGCTTAACTTTAGTAAAGACGAGCCCTAGAAATTTGTACAAAGTTTATTAACCCTTTAACTCCCAGAATTGCTTAACAAGTAGGTTCTCCCTACATTATCCATGCACTATCCAGCAAAAAGGTAATGAGAATACTCCAATTATATCAGGTAGAAGTTGTTATCTTGATATACCACCAAATTCTCGTAACTTATTTACAAGGATATTAGTAGCAGTTAGAGAGGAGAATTAACAATCAGATCTTGGGAGTAAAGGGGTTAATCAATCACTAGTTTGCATTCTCTTTTGCCGTCTCACAATTTTTCAAATAACGGTTAACTGTATAAAATAACAAATAAAGCGAATTGGGCGGATAATGATCTCCATTTTGCTTGTAATCATATTGTGACAGCATACCACCCAGGGGTTAAAAATTTAAAACAAATACTGATGCAAGAATGGAATCTCGTCCAAAATCAGCCACTGCTGAAAACAATTTACAAAACGCCTCCGATTATATCATACAAAAGAGGTAAATCGCTCAAAGACATACTCGTCAGAGCGAAGCTTTAATTAAAGGCTTTTGCGTCGCAAACGTAAAACCACACAGGGGAGTCTGTGTAGGCCTGTCTATGACCTTTTCAATCTGTGATATTTTCCAGGCAGGCCCCGTCCCCTGCGTGACATCACACTCTGTACAACTTTACAATATTCCAAGTACAAAACCGCGTCATTTGCGGCACATAGCACTTTTATTACAGAACCAGAACAACAAGTTGGTTCTACATACAGTACAAAGATAGATAAAATACAAAAAAGCGACATTAAAACGCCTTTGCGGCGTATAATGCGAAAGAAAGCCTCACAAAGAAACACACCTCTGAGCTTTGAAAAAGCGCGGATCGAAAATACCAACACATGATTGGTTACTCTCTTTCCAGAGAGAACCAATGAAAACGGAACACCGTTGATCCTAACCGCAGGTAAACCAAGTATAAAAAGATGGTTTTCCACCCTTTTTGGCGGGATTGGAATTGAGAATTTCTCTGCCTGCCCCTGATTAACACAGCCTGACTTAACAAAGCAGCTGAAGAGATTTTTTAAGAATCGAAACCGTCGGTCCTGCTAGACGATATACTTCACTTTCAGTTTTACCTGAAAAAAATGTCAGCTTTTGAAACACCATTGCGGCCACCAAAAACGCCATACTACCGTCCAAATCTGGACGAGGAGATGGAATTAACGTACACTGATCCGAACCCAGAATCGGACCCAGAGGATAGCCCTCCAGCATCACAACTCGAGCCAAGGCATAAAGCTGAATTAGCCAAACAACGCAGCAACGAAGGTCTACGCCTTCAAAAAGAAAGCCGTCAAAAAGAAAACCTTCCGAGGAATAGCCGATCCACGCGGCAGCCAAGGAAGAGGAAACATGAAGACACCATCAGCGCTATCCAGTTCAAGAAGCAAAAAACTGAAACCTCCATTTTAAAACTGGAGAGACACTTACAACAAAAGACTTGCCCTCAGTCGCTTCAATACAAGGCGAAGGCAAACGTCACGCCTGACGAAACCTTTCGACAGGAAATAAGCGCTATTAAAAGTCACGCCGAAGAACAATACGTTAGCGCCCTAGTGCGCTTCTATCAGCGTAGACTTGTTAGTCACAAGAACAAACTTGAAAAGGCTAATATTGCCAAGTCTCGATCACAATACAATGTAAATGCACGTGAAAGATCACGTTCGCCCTTGAGGAACACTGTAAATACTGATGTCGACAGGATAGACAAAATAGAAAATCAGCTTTCAGAGCTGAAAGATCTTATATGCACACGCTTTCAGAGTGATAATAAACATGTTGAAAAGTACAACAGTGTCATCTCTGAAAAATCAGTCGCCAAACCCACTGCAGCAAAAAGGCTATCCAAGAATAATAAACGCAAAAAGCGTCGAAAAAATACACTACACAAGCGAGTGACTACAGAAAGGGAGAAAAATGAAAAATACCTTAAAAACCTTTCAGACAATACATTAACTGATCACCAAGTCAGCGTGTTAACAAAAGGGCTTAAATTTATTGAAACACCCGTGACAAATGAAAATAAGATCAGGCAACAATTGTTGCGTGACTTCGAACAATTCGCTAGGCGAATGAGACTTAGATATATATTCCACGGGAATGACAAGGAACCACATCCTTTCCACGTCAAATCAAACTGGATACCACCAGTACAACCTTCTATTGCCCTTGAACGCTACTTCGAAAATATCAAGTTAAGCCTTGCTGAAATAGCAATAACAAAGCCAAAACACAACCTGTCATACAACGAACACAAAGCAGTCAAAGAACTGCAAAACAATACTGCCATCAACCTTAAACGTGCTGACAAAGGCACCACAACAGTGATTCTCAACAAGAGGGACAAAATTCAAGAGGCCCAGGTTCAGCTCGACAACAGAGACCACTACCGACCTCTTGAAAACCCCATGGTCACTGACACATTAAAAAAAGTTAATGAGCTTATTGCTCAACTGCACAATGGCAAACATATAGACGATATGACAAAAAAGTGGCTTTCACAGACTCCCAATCCGCCCAGAACACCGATTTTCTACACTTTAACAAAAATCCACAAACCTTTGCCAGTGGGTAGACCGATTATATCGGGCTGCGAAGGACCAACTGAAAGGATATCATCCTTTGTGGATCATTTATTACAGCCTATTGCTCAAAAGCAAAAATCGTATCTCAAAGATACGACTGATTTCATCAACTTTATAGAGAAAACGCAAGTGTCAAATGATACTATTTTAGTATCAATGGATGTAACAACCTTGTACACAAACATCCCACAAGAAGAGGGTATCACAATAGTATGCCAAGCATACGAAAAATACCACAATAACAGCCCTCCCATTCCGTCCCACTACTTAAAACAAATTCTCGGGCTTATACTGAAAGAAAATTCGTTCCAGTTCAACGGAGTAAACTATCTCCAATGTTTTGGAACTGCCATGGGAACACGAATGGCGGTTGCTTTCGCCAATCTCTTTATGGCAGAAATTGAAACAAAACTGCTTCACCAAAGCAGTATCAAGCCGAGAGTATGGAAGCGTTACATTGACGACGTTTTCTCCCTGTGGGATGTTCGTAAACAAGACATTGATCTATTCATAGAACAAGCTAACACGTTCCATCCAACTAAAAAAGTTCACGGCTGAAATCTCAGAGACTGAAATCACATTCTTAGACACGGTTGTCTACAAAGGTGAAAGATTCCAAAACGAAGCTATCCTCGACGTTAAAACTCACTACAAACCGACTGAGACCTTTTAATATACACACTATTCATCTTGCCACCCGCCAGGTGTTAAGAAAGGCTTTATTAAAGGAGAAGCTATCAGACTTCTAAGAACAAACTCCTCGGAAAGAAATTTCCAGGAGGCCATGTGTAACTTCAAAACACGACTTGAAGCACGTGGTTACCCAAAAAGCCTAATTGAAAAAACGTTATCTGAGGTCTCGTTTGCCGCAAGGCAGTCGACACTTAAAAAACAAACCAAAAAAACTAAAGGCAAAATATTGCCTTTTGTGACAGCATACCACCCAGGGGTTAAAAATTTAAAACAAATACTGATGCAAGAATGGAACCTCATCCGAAATCAGCCATTGCTGAAAACAATTTACAAAACGCCTCCAATTATGTCATACAAAAGAGGTAAATCGCTCAAAGACATACTCGTCAGAGCGAAGCTTTAATTAAAGGCTTTTGCGTCGCAAATGTAAAACCACACAGGGGAGTCTGTGTAGGCCTGTCTATGACCTTTTCAATCACAATTTTTCAAATAACGGGTAATTGTATAAAATAACAAATAAAGCGAATTGGGCGGATAACGATCTCCATTTTGCTTGGCCACTTCACAAACGAACTTGCTCAACTAAAAGTTTAGTGTATTTGGTGACATATGCTCTGGTGGAACGGTCAGATCTTGAATATCTTCGTATTTCAGATCGGCCACTCCAACAACTTTTAACATTACACATGTATTTTGCCGCCGCGGCTGCCATTCCTTGAATACTTTTTTACCCCATTTGGCGTTTTATTGTGTTGCTTTCGGAGTGGCCTCCGATAGTAAGCTGGTCTCTTCTTCTTTACTCTTTGGAGAGCGAGACCGGCCAGCCATGTTTCTCCTGCAAAAGCTATATGAAAACAAATTGCAATGCTAAATATTTCCAAACTCCTCTGGGACAGCTGCACGCCCCACGTAATTAACATGACAAACGCAATCTATTGTCGCGGTTTCATTTCACAAGTAAGAGAAAATAATCGCGTCCGATCTTTAGGGGCTTTAAAACGCCGGCTCGCCTTTTGAAATGCCCGTTAAGAGCTCCGGCTCATATTTTATCTATTACTTATAGTAGTACTTCTTCTTAGTACTTCTTTAAGTGAAGACTTAAATTAAAGACGAAAATTGTTTTCACGATTTGCCTGTTGGGATGAAGTAAAGTTGACATATTCCTTTGACAGAGAATGTTTGACACTTAGAGAATTAAAACAAAACAGTCATTTAACGAAAGTGAACCAAGTCATCTTACGAATAAAATATGAAAGTGCTCTATGTTTTCGGGCAGATAACAAATCAGTTACTTCCGGTTTATCCAATTTATCTGTCTCGTCTCTCTTGAAAGGTTTAGTTTATCGGATTATTTCATCATCTTTGTTATGAGATCTCAAGCCATCTGTCGCTAAGTCGTTCAAATAAATTAAGTTTGTATCGTCGTGTGTCGAATTACAATGGTCTATTCATTTTTAATGACCGGATGCCCACGCCTTGCAACGCAAAAGATCTAAAAGAGAACTAACTTTGTCTGCAAAACACAAGTTAGATTGCTGTCGAGAGTATTTGTGTCAAAGTTTTTGTACAATAACATCGAAACAAAAACCTGACTGAACTTCCCGATTGCCAGAAGGTTTGTAATTTACAGCTAACGCGCATTAGATCCACTTCAATTCCGCCCAATTGATTTTCTTCTCGCTCTAGTTCGTGAAACTCTTTGTTATTACGCATGATACAAAATTGTGCTTAGCTTTCTTAGAAAACTAATCAACTTTTCCATGAGTCCTTCAAAGTACACTTTTTTCCCGGTGAATTAGGCTCTCTTTTTCTATAAGCAGAGAGTGAAAAGTTCAAAAAATGTATAAGGTGTAAATAATATTTTCTTGTCTTCGGCTTCAGGTAAAGTAATGGCTTGCACAACTCCATTTAAACAAAAAAAATACTCTGGGAATGTGCTCTGGGAATCATAGTAGATTTTTATATTTACTTAAAATCAATTCGGTAAGTTGAGTTTGGTTCTTGGAAGGACGTCATTTTTTTGTGTTATTTATGCAATAGACAGCTCTCTCTTTCTCTTTTACCGGGGCTATAACCCACGCAGGATGTTTGGAGAACATAAGGAAAGTTTGGATTTACCAATACAATAAACGAGAGGCTTTTGACTAATTAGGGCCCTCATAATTTCTCAGTTGTTCTTTAAAACTTAAAAACTCATCTCGGTTTAATGATGTGATCAATTTCCAGAAATTGATTGTGTGATGCAGCTTCGTTTCCCTATTCTGGTCATTCTATGTGCAGCAAAGATCCTCAACGTCTTCGGAAAATGTGCTCCTTCGACTCACTCAATAAGCGGCTACCACCTGTCTGGTCACGTGATGTCCACCAAGATTGTCTCCAGTTTTTCTGAGTGTGTGACCATGTGTGTAACTAAGATCCGCTGCAAAAGTTTGAACTTTTGTTTAAAAGATAAATCATGCGACTTAAATGACGCAGGAAGACATGCCCACCCAAAGAATTATGGACCAAAAGCAGGAATTATCTACATGGATGTGTCTGAATCACCCAAGGTTTGTATTTTCAATAATTATATTCCCAATGCTGGTTCGTTCAACAATAAAGCTCAAATGTAACGCGCGCTGTCATTGGTTGAGAGAGCGTGCGTGCTCTATCAGAGCATAGAAAATGGAGTCGAGCTAAAGCTGTCACGCCATCTGCCAAATTGTACTGTGTCCGACCATTTCCTAGTCTTTTTTCTAGCTCTTTTTTCGTTATTTAAAAGTGATTTTTCTGAACAAGCGAGACGGCAAATAGCGACAGAAGAACCAAACAAAGGTGTGTAAACACGCTGAGCGCCGTAATTTATGTTATCTTAACGTGAGCAGAGACGAAAATCCTCAAAGAGAAAACGAAATGGACGAGTTTTGAAGGTGCTAAAAATAAAACACAGCAAACACTCGTACAGTAAATATAGTTTCGTGTTCAAAAACAAAACAGAACAAAACATGAATGATGAAAGATATGGTCAACTGGCATAACTGTTAAAATTGACGCTAGCTCACCATGGCGATCTCCGGTGATCGTTGTGAAGAAGCCTCACAAATTACATCGGCTGCCCTTCGAGTGAACGATTAAGAGTTTGCTCTAATACCCTTTCCGATGTGTTGAGTGGAATGCCATATCTGTCACAGAAGGCGAGTTGTATGGCGCTGTCATCCCGAGCAATCTTCATGTTTCTATGGATTCGGCTGTCGTTCGTTCATAAAACAAAAGCCTTGAACAGTTTGTTTTCTAATTGACATGTGAAAAAACGTGCGTGTTTTTACGAGATTCGATTCGGCCGGATTTCACTGAACAAGTCACTTTCAGATTCTTCGATAATGACTTAAAGAATTCAGGTAAACTTGTTAATTTTTTAACTTTGATGGTTTGACATTATTGACAGCTTAAGTCTTGTACGATAAATCAGAGTATTTGAACCATTCTGACAATGATTCTGATTGGCTTATCGTAACGTGCTTTATTAGGGGATAGAGCATGCTGACAACGCTGTTGTTCGCTTTGTAAATAAAATTTGTTTTGGAAGTTGAAAATAATGCACTTCTTTCGTGCTCTAGCCGCTTCCTGTGCGTTTTACAACAAAACAGAACACAGGCCAGGCTTCTCTGTTTGTTAATTATTGCGAAAAAAACCTATAGTTTCATAATCTATCTCTATTTCTCTCTTTCTGTTTGAAAATTGAACGTGTTTAGATCAATAGCAAATTCAAGTTCGACGCTCTACACCAAAAACCAACGATGTATTTTTTTCTTTTTTTTTTTTTTTTTTCAAATCGAAACCTAGCAAAAGTTTTATTCGCTTCCAGTCTTGTGCAGCAATACAGCAAGAATGGCCTCAGGCGGAAAGTGGATATTACTGGATAACGATTGGGAGAAGAGAAGTTCAGGTTTATTGTGATATGACAAACTACGGTAAGCCCAATTCAACTTATTCATTTCAGGCACGATTTCATAGTTTTGTGAGAAATTTACTATGATTGCATTAAGCCTCATTTTCCCACTGTTAAATATCGAGGAACCGACGATGGTTTTAACATGACCTAACCTACTTAACCGGTTTTGATCTAAAATATAGGAGATGACTGGTTAAAAGGAGCTGACAAAAATCCGACTTAGATTTAAACAATTGTTCATCCAATTGAGAGTTAGGATTTTAAACTCCCTGACCATGCAAAATCGTCGAGCTTGTTGTTATTGTTGTTGGCGTTTTTTGCTTACTTTTTCATATGTTTATTTTTCTCTCAGTTTATGTGTTTCTACTTTTTTCTTATGGACAGTCCTTGGCTATTTTAACGGGGTGCTTCCATTAGCCATGCAGTTAAATGATTGTAAGGTTTATTTTGTAATGTTGATATATATATATAGGTGGCGGTTGGACTTTGGTAGTGACCATTAGCTCCAAGAGCAACGATCACCTTCAAGGCACTGAAGTACACTGTTTCCAACCGACATTGTGTGTTCCCTTTGTCGAAGAGAACAGCGACATCACGGCGCGAAAATTAGCAGACAAAGAGATACAAGAAATGATGTATTTTGAAGGTAAAGCTGTGAGCTGGATTAAAGGCGAGTCATTCAATAAATGATTAATGTTTTTACTGATCGGATCACACTGCCCAAGAAATTCTCAGATACAATAAAATGTTATCATAGAAAAAAAAAGGTTTCAACGTCTATCATTTATATATATTTCTATATATGTTGGTTCACCTGGAGGTAAGATCTCTTGGGTCCATTAAATATAATTAGCCGCGTTTTGCGTTCTACTTTGTTTATTCTTTTAGTCTTCTATTTTTGCTTCTGCTGCAAATTTCAAGAAAGGAAGTTTCATGTACGGTATGCACAGAGAGAGCTTGGATATATTTGATTTATGCAGATTCCATTGCAGATGATTTTTCACCTCTAACCTTGACACGTATTTTATTTTCCAGGAACTTTTAGAGTTGACGTTTTGAAAAAGAATGTTACTTACGCCGTTTTTTACCAGGTATTGCTTATGACATGTTTGAGTTTAACTGCTGTTTCTTGTTGAACAACACGAGTAATTACGTATATCCTCTTTGAAACTCAATTTTAGATACCAAGTGGCCGAAAAAAGTTTAACTCAACATGTGGCTATGGAACGTAAGTGCTTGTAATGTAGATAAATTAGGGTCTGCCAATGTAGACTGCCTTCCTTTCTTGCCTCGGTCAAAATTGTGGTTGAAGTCACAAACACCCCCTTCTATTATCCCAAAGTCCCAAAGACAATACAAAAACCAATATTATTGGCTCAGTTTGGTCGGAATGGACGGTAAAAAATTTTACTCTTGGTCATAAAGCACTGACCTGGCTGTGCTCTATTCATACGTATCGTCCTGCCTGGCCTTCCCACTCAGTCAATAAGTCATAGAATTAACATTAACGACGTGACCTTAAATGTAAACCATCCAGCAGCTAAAGGTAAAGGTTGAGGTGAACTCTTCATGTTCCCCATTCCACCAGGGTGACCTATGTCAGTTTGCTTTCCTAAGCGAACACAAGAACTAACTCGTGCAGATAAATAGAGTAGGTCCAAAAGAGAGACTATTGTATTTTGTTACGCTTCGTTTTGTTTCCTTTTCTTTATCTTTGCTTTTGTTTTTGTCGAATACAGGTGTCCACGCATAATCATTTCTTATTCTTATCCTTATCAATGGGAGACAAACCGCTGTAATAATATTGACGTGGGCTACCGCATATACTCCGACTGCCACAGAGGTAATAGAGATGTTGATATGTGATGATGAGTTATGAACTCTCTTCTTCGACTGCAATGACATGTAAAAGACCAAGAATAACCAGAGACATTCAAATAAGATCCACCATTTGGTGGCGGAATTAAGTAAATCCAGAGAGACGAAATTTTGGAACTTAGCTCCATGCTTTTTTTTACTTTAGAAAGTATTTAATGATATAGAGTTAAAAGAACTTGTGGCTGCGGAGAAATTTCCAAGTCATATATTCAACAGTTTAATTGGAACGAGATGCGGGAGATTGCGTCAGTCACACACGCAAAGTCAGTTTCAGGGACGCTCTCAAGAACAAAAACTTGAGCTTGAGCTTAATCCCTTCCTTTTCTTCCCAAACCCCCCTTACTTCAGAGTAAGAATAAAATCTCCTCTTCTGGGTGTGACCAAGTGCGCATTTCAATTATCACCTCTTTCTCTTTCTCTTTCCCTAATCCTCTTATTTTGACTGTTTTTTTTTCTGGTCGCTAGTTTTCGACGGACATGACGATGGGGAGTGTGGCCATTGGTGGACTTCATCAAAATGTAGGAGTAAATGGCAATTAATTTCAATTGCAAATTGATTTTAAATATATTTGATTTACGACTGATTTTTTAACGATTTCCCCCCTAACATCAGCACAGATATTGCCCGTCTTATTCTCGATGCATTTACCAAGATACTGGCAAGGATGATATGTCGCTAGTCACTCTAAGGGGTTAGAGAGTTAAAACTGTATAATCTTCTTGTACTGGGAGAAGCGATGGTCTGATACCAAATCGTATCTGCCTGTATTGCTGTGCTTTTGGGTGAAACCTTAAATATCTACTTCACAATACCTTTCTATTTCATCTTACGTGACGAGATGTAAGACCTTCTATGATAGATTAATGCGTGAGCCGTGGAGCACCAAACTTCGATGGCAAAATCATGTGTTTTAAAATAGCCCCCGACTCCCATATCTCATTCCATTTGAAAACAGATCATATAAGACGAGCCTTGTATGGTTTCCCACAGTGCCACGACCAAAATAATCACGGAATCTACTACAACAACTCAGGGATGTTGTTTGTAAAATAACCCTGCTTCAGAGAAATATGGTGAGTTATGTCGGCATTCTAAGAATCAATTAGTAAAAAGCGGAATGAACTCTGATGGTATTACCATGAACTGTACTTTCCAATCACATTATTACAAATTTTTATATTATTCATCCAACAGCCCTTCAAAGACAACCATAGCATGGTTATCCTCTGAGCTACAGCAATAGCCGTGGAATCTTTTTAAACAAATGCGGGATGTTGTTTGTAAAGCAGTGCTATCTAGGAGAGATTTGATGGAATATGTTTTGTTTTGGTTTTGTTTTGTTTTGTTTTGTTTTGTTTTGTTTTCATGGTGATAAAGCCCTGTGATGGTGCACAGTTACGCTTAAAAAAACACAAGAGAATTTTTTCCTTTTCATCGAGATATAATGTTACTTTAAAACTTATTTAGCCTTAGGTATCTCAAGACACAAGCTTAGCAAAGAAAATAATTAACGTTTAAAGTCACTTCTATCATTTAAAACCTGCACCACGATTTTTGACATACTTTATGTAGTCAGTTGATTATCTTATAAGTACGTAAAAAAAGAAAGATTATTTGAGTGTCCCTGTTCCCTTAAGGGGCAGCTAGATACCCATATGATTCCTATAAGATCGTGACAATTATATATTCTTGCTAAATTCGGGTTTCCGAAAATTGTTCGTTTTCTTACTCTGAGAAAAAGTTTTGCTCAAACCCAAGAAAGAATAAAAAAACGACAGGTCACTGTCCTCGTTTGGGAGAAAATCATGATTTCCATTTTAAGTGATCTACGACCATCGAGAAAACGTCCCCACTTATTGTGTGCGCGCACTAGTTTGGTTTAAAACAGTTATACATATGAAGATGCGTAATGTAGTACTACTTGGAAAGGTCAACTTTACTGACAAGAAATCAACTGAAATGAGAGCGCAGGTAAAAAACTCAAGCGCTATGACTCATAACTGTATGTAAATACAGCAAAAGTAGTAATGAGACAAAATAAATTTCCCTTTCAACCTTTTTCGAAGCGCATTATTATATTATATTATATTTTGGGATATAGGTCACCCACACCAGATGCAATCCAAACCCAAATTAAACTTTCCCTGCCGACGCCCGCATTGTATGATTCCAAGGTCCTTATGGCACATGAAGCTCTGTACCTTGTACAGAGTTTTACTTTTTGACCGTTAATGCTGAGAGGGTTTCCTCTGGTGCCTTTCGGGATCAAACGGTCAACTGACAAGATTGAGTCCGTGTCGCAATTGTGTTTTACATACAACTTCACATAAAGCCACGTAAGAACTTCCGCCTCTAACTCCTGGGTTACGATTCTTGGAGGAAACCAAATTTCGTTGATTTTTGTCGTCGCTGTTTGAAGCTTAAATTTTTTCATTTATTTCCTGTAAAAGTAGCTTGTCGTGATGACTCTTATACAGTTTTTCTGCTAGCGGGTAACTCAAATCAAACCCAAAAGAAACAAAAAACCAAATGCAGAACAAGATTTCGAAACAATGTATTGTACTTAATCGGATTCTTAAGTAAAGGCAATGTATAATTGATTAAATTGTTAATTGCGTTGCTTGGAAAAAAAAAAGACAAAAAACAAAAACAAATAACAGTTACAGCTTCCATATCGGATCAGTTTTCGACAATTTGTGAGGGTAAGTTTATTTCCTTCCTTTAAATAATTTTTTGTGCGCTATGACACACAACTGTCTGTAAATACAGTAAAAGTAGCAATGAGACAAAATACGTTTCCCTCCCAACCTTTTTCAAAGCGTATTTTTATTTCTCTCACATTTGTATACCCCTTGGGATTTAAGTCACCCACACCACATAAAATCTAAACTCAAATTAAACCTTCTCTGCCGACGCCCACATTGTACGACTCCAAGGTCCTTCTGGCGCATAAACCTCCGAACCTCTTGCAAAGGGTTTTGTTTTCTGACCATTGATGCCGACATCAAATTATTTATTGCGTGGCTTGAAAAAAAAAGATAGTAAATAGTTACAGCTTTCGTATCGGGCACAATTTTCGATAATTTGTGAGGGTAAGGTTGTTTCTTTAATTTATGATACCAATCAATAGGCAGTATTTAAGCCACATGTTTACCTCTGTAAACCCCAATATAATTCAACTGTATAAAACCACGGGGAGGGTTTGAAAAGATAGCAGGGAAAGGCAAGGGTTGATCGATTATGAATTAGTAAAATTATCAATAGAATTAATTTTCATAAAGATATCCATCTCCCCTACTTAGTATATTTATCTTTGATAAGGATGAACCCTGGAAATTTGTTCAAAGTTTATTAATCAATCGCTCGCTAGTTTGCATCCTTTTCTCCCGTCTCACTCAAATAACGGTTAATCGCATCAATTAACAAATAAAGCGAATTGGGCGGATAACGCTCTCCATTTTGCTTTACCACTTCACAAACGAACTTGCTCAACTAAACTTTTAGCGTATTTGGCGACTTGCGCTCTAGTGGAAAGGTCAGATCTTGAATATCTTCGCATTTCAGATCGGCGACTCCAACAACTTCTAACATTGCACATGTATTTTGCCGCTGCTGCCATTCCTCAAAGACTATTTTATTCTATTTAGTGGTGTATTGTGTTGCTTTTGGAGTGGCTTCCGACAGTAGAGTAGTCTCTTCTTCTTTACTCTTTGGAGAACGAAACCGTCAGCCATGTTTCTACTACAAAAGCTGTAGTTTATGTAATAATTAAAAAACGAGCAGGAGTGTTTTATCGGGTTTAAAACCACGAGGCGTAGCCGAGTGTTTTTTGACCCGATAAAACACGTGCTGCGAACGGCTTCAAAAACATTCTTGGAAAAGCGTGTGTCAAGAGAGTTCATAACAATGATGCTTTTGTGAACGTTAGAAATTAGCATACGAGAAAAACAGATTTCAGTTTCAGATGATGTATTGTCTAATATGCCTTTACAAGATTACTGTACTAATGGAATAGAGAATTTTTCCAGATGTGTATTTCACAACTGTACTATTAATTTGGTGCAAAAGTAAATTTACTGTGTGAAATTTGTTGAAAGAACATTAAATATGTTCCCACCATTTGTTGTGTCAGTTTCTGTGTTGATAATTAATTAATATTCATAAGTCACGTGCAGTGTCTATATCACCGCACACTAATAAGGATGAGGTTTAACGATATAAAGTCACTGCACGTGATGTATTATCTACCATTTGATAGGTTAATGGGCTTATGAATTATTAATGAGTTTTTGAAGAAAATGAAATGCTAATACTGAATGTTTCCAAACTCCCATGGGACACGACTATAAGAGATCCTCGCAGCTAAGAACACTACTGAACAAGTAGTTGAAATAAGACCTGAAAAAAATTTTTTTCAGGCCCGTACGGGATTTAAACCTATGACCTCTGCGATACCGGTGCAGCGCTCTACCAACTGAGCTAAGAAGCCAACTGGGAGGGTCCAAATAAACCATCCAAGTGATGAATAATGATTTTAGATATGTGAAATTCATATATTTGCACTGCGGTGCAAAAACGAATATAAGAGATCTTTGCAGCTAAGAACACTACTGAACTAGTAGTGAAAAGGTCTTATTTCAACTGCTAGTTCAGTAGCGTTCTTAGCTGCGGGGATCTCTTATATTCCTTCCTTCACCGCATTGCAAATATATGAATTTCATATATCTAAAATCATTATCCTATGCGACAGCTGCACGCCCAAGTGTTTAACAGGAAGAACGCAAGTAAGATAAAATAATGGCGTCCGACCTTTATGGACTTTATTACGGCTCGCCGTTTTAAATACCCAGAAAGGGCTCCAGCTCACATTTTATCTATTACTTAAAGTAAAACTTGCTTAGGCGTAGACTTACGATTTGCCTATTCAAGTTGTTGGGATTAAGTAAAGTTGACATATCCCTTTGACAGAGAAGGTTTGACGCTTATAGAATTAAAAAGAGAAAAAAATTCATCTCACGAAAGTAGAACAAGTCATCCTAGGAAAAAAAATGGGATTTTTCAACCAATATGAAAGTGCTCTATGTTTTCGGGCAGATTTCAAATCAGTTAGTTCCGTTTAATTCCTTTTATTTCTGTTGTCCTTCGCGAAAGTTTTAGTTTATCGCTCTATTTCATCATGTTTGTTATGAATTCTCTGGCCATCTGTCGCTAAGACAAGTCGTTCCAATAGATAAAGTGTTTATTTTCATGTGTCGGATGACAATGGTCTATTCATTTTTAACTACCCGATGCCCACGCCTTGCCTCGCAGGGGGTCCTTAACAATAATTTCTTCTTTCTGCAAAACACATATTAGACTGCTGTGAAGTCAATTTGTGTTAAAGTTTTTGTAAGATTACATCGAAACAAAAGCCTGGACGAGCTTCCCAAATACCAGAAGGTTTGTATTTTCACGATTTACCGATTCAAGTTCTTGGGATTGAGTAATGTTGACATATCCCTTTAACAGAGGACGTTTGACGCTTATAGAATTCAAAAAAAGTAAAAGTAAACAAAGTCATCCTAGGAAAAAAGATGGGATTTTTCAACCAATATGAAAGTGCTCTATGTTTTAAGGCAGATATCTGATCAGTTAGTTCCGTTTCATTCCTTTTATTTGTCTTGTCCTTCGCGAAAGTTTTAGTTTATCGGTTTGTTTTATCATCTTTGTTATGAGATCTCTGGCCATCCGTCGCTGAGACAAGTCGTTCAAATAGATAAAATTTGCATTTTCATGTGTCGGATTAATAGGTTTATTCATTTTTAATTACCCGATGCCCAAACATTCATTTCACGAAATTAAACCACGTCATCTTGGGAAAAAATGGGATTTTTCAACCAATATGAAAGTGCTCTATGTTTTCGGACAGATTTCAAATCAGTTAGTTCCGTTTGATTCCTTTTATTTGTCTTTTCCTTCGCGAAAGTTTCAGTTTATCGGTTTATTTCATCATCTTTGTTACGAGATCTCGGCCATCTGTCGCTAAGAGAAGTCGTTCAAATAGATGAAATTTGTATTTTCATGTGTCGGATGACAATGGTCTATTCATTTTTAATTACCCGATGCCCACGCCTTGCCTCGCAGGGGATCTTAACAACACCTTTCTCTTCTGCAAAACACAAATTAGTCTGCTGTGAAGACTGTTTGTGTTAAAGTTTTTGTACGATTACATCGAAAAAAAAAAGCCTGGATGAGCTTCCCAAATACCAGAAGGTTTGTAGGTAACAGCTAA